TCATATCAGACTATTCCGGCAAGTGGAATGCCGGGGAATTACTATATGATAGCAATCACATCGTCATACAATTATCTGTCATTGTGATTATACATATTCATAAACTCGCCTCGTATTCATTACCTGTTGTACATATATATCATATGTATGGAGAAACGTGCATACCTCTGAGTCCACATAATAGTCTTTTAGGAACTACAATGTAAGACACATAATTATTTTCGATTTGATGTCTACATCGATTTACGAAACAATAAAACAATGTGACACACACGTCATATTACATTAAATAACTAAACTAAAATTAGTCGATACAGAAATAACTTCAATGAGATTTAAATAAATATATTATATATCTTTATTACGAAAGTACATCTCCCATGTGGGTTCGTCTAGTTATTGATGACTGCCTAATAGGAAAGCTAGCAGTTGTAAATTCCGAAATATTACAATGGCAGATATAGCGGGTGAGCTGATATTATAAGATTGCTTGTATTTTACCCGCTCCTAAAATTGATAATCGTGTATTTCTGTTTTCTCTGAATAGAATTATGTCAATAACGAAACGAAAACACTTCATGTAGTCAGACATTCATTCAATCGTGGAAGCCGCGCCTATTTGTAATAAACATAAAAAAGGTAGTACCATGTCCATGAACAAGGATAGTTGAGTGGTCAATTTACATGGACCTTTATTATGCTAATGTATGCATGTGTTTAGATGGCAATGTTACTAGATTAGCCTTTTATACTTGGTGTATGGAGTATACTGGTAGAACTGTCTGGAGCACATTTTTATATATTCTGCGTGGAGGTAAAATTCCTTACTTCCAGAAATCAGTATTGAGCAAATTCAGTGTACAGGATGTGCCAGTGGTCGAGTGAAGCAAGGTTGCCTGGTGGTTGCCGGCGTTGCAAGAATTCCGTGAAATGGATAGTCACGGAATTCTTGCAATTATATGAAATAGGAGTGAATTCTTTTCTGGACCAGGCAATATGAATTGTGTACAATATTTCCATTCATCCATGACGTACGGCTACTTGACAATACTTGTTATTGAATATTAAATTTACGCACAGTAATGTATATACAAGTGTTGATGTTTCCAAATGTGT